TATATGTGTTAACACTAATGAGTGTGATAATTGTTAGCATTGTGTTTTAAATTATATGAGTGTCTTACTAGTGTCTTACTAGTGTGTAATTTGTGGTATACAGTTAATGTTAGCAGTGGTTTATAATTATTATAGGTGTTACAACACTCATATTTAACTTGCTGCCGTTGAAATATTTGTCTTAGTGTTAATCACCATGTACAGTACACACACAAAGTACTGTACAGTAAACACACAAAGTACTGTACAGTAAACACAGAAAGTACTGTACTGTACAGTACACACAAAGTACTGTACTGTACAGTACACACACAAAGTACTGTACTGTACAGTACATACACAAAGTACTGTACTGTACAGTACATACACAAAGTACTGTACTGTACACACACAAAGTACTGTACTGTACAGTACACACACAATGTAATGTACTGCATTGCACTGTACTGTACTGCACTGTACTCTACTGTACTGTACCTTACCATACTGTACTGCACTGTACCTTACTGTACTGCACTGTACTCTACCGTACCACACTGTCCTGTACCATACCGTACTGTACTGTACCATACTGTGCTGTACTGTACTGTACCATACTGTACCTTACTGTACTGCACTGTACTGTACCATACCGTACCATACTTTACTGTACTGTACTGTATTGTACCGTACTGTATTGTGCTGTACTGCACTGCACTGTGCTGTACAGTACTGCACTGCACTGCACTGTACTGTACAGTACTGCACTGCACTGCACTGTACTGTACTGTACCATACTATACTGTACTGCATTGTATTGTACTGCATTGTACTGTACTGCATTGTATTGTACTGTACCATATTGGGACAAATTAGTTTGTTTAAATTTACTAAAAAATATTTCTCTATTTACAGTTATTATGGCGTGTGTGTCAACGAGGGCCAAGTGCACGCCTTAACTGAGGTGAGTGTGTGTGTTTATTTTTTTACCTAGATTGGCCCACTCGAACACATGTCACTGACCCACATTGGGGCCTGGGGGGGGGTGGTATATAATAATAATAATAATAATAATAATAATAATAATAATAATAATAATAATACAAATTAATAAAAATAAATAAAAAATACAATAAAACTTAAAAAAAAAATAATTAAGAACCATAAACAAATACCTGTACAAAAATAAAATAAAAAGATAGTGAGAAACGATAAACAGTACAGTGTATGTGTTGTGTTGTCAAAGTAAGAGAAACAATTGAGACCCTGCAATTGTGTGTAAATGTGGCAGAAAATCAGATGAGCAACCTGCGACTTGGTCACAATTTCTATGATGCCAATACCCTGTATGGCAGCAGGGTCTAACATTAGACAATACAGTTAACCCTCACTTTACGCGGTCCCACATTCCGCGTTTCCACGTTTACGCGGTGCCCTGCCGGAACCCAGGATGCTCACATTCCGCGGTGCGTGTTCCCCTTTACACGGAGAGCGGCTGGCGAGCCGCGCCATTTTTGGATCCAAACCTCCCGCCATCCGCCATGTTGTGTAAGCGGCGCGAACATGGTGCGCACAAGGTCGCCCAGTCATCAAAACATTACCAGTTCTTCACCCGCCACCCACCACAGCCGGCCCAAGTCAGTGATAGTGATAATTATGGTGAGGATATGGACTTATATGGACTTTGGGGAGTTTGACAAAGAGGCCCTGCAAGCCTCTGTGGTGGATAGTGATACAATTGATACAAGTGACACAGGTGAGGGCCAATAATCTGCCCTCTGCCTCGGAACCAACCGCCCATCCCCGTGTGCCCAGCCATTTTTCTACTAATGTAAGTGTTAAAAAACCTAATATTATTGATATTTCTCTTAATTATTAATTGTGTGTGCATACCATCATAAAGTTAAGATAATATTTTTACTACAACATAGTTGTGTGTCGTCAAAAAGTGGAGTTTGGGGATCGGCCCGGACTCCATTTCAATTAATCCCATATGTTATGTTATTCACTTTACGCGTTTCTCACTTTACGCGGGACCCTCCGGGTTACATTAACCGCGTAAAGTGAGGGTTAACTGTACTACATTATGCTTCTAATAACTTCCCAAGTGTGTGTGTGTAAAATGTTTCTATTTTTTGTCATCTAACACTTCCCTGTCACTGCCTACACTAGCCTTGCACTAACTACTGTACACTTTATAATACAGAGTATCAGGTTTAGGTGTCCTTAGAAAAATATGTGGAGCGATAAATAGATTAACACATGAATATATAAAAAGATTAACACATGAATATATAAAAAGATTAACACATGAATATATAAAAAGATTAACACATGAATATATAAAAAGATTAACACATGAATATATGAATAGATTAACACATGAATATATAAATAGATTAACACATGAATATATAAAAAGATTAACACATGAATATATAAATAGATTAACACATGAATATATAAAAAGATTAACACATGAATATATAAAAAGATTAACACATGAATATATAAAAAGATTAACACATGAATATATAAAAAGATTAACACATGAATATATAAAAAGATTAACACATGAATATATAAAAAGATTAACACATGAATATATAAAAAGATTAACACATGAATATATAAATAGATTAACACATGAATATATGAATAGATTAACACATGAATATATAAAAAGATTAACACATGAATATATAAAAAGATTAACACATGAATATATAAATAGATTAACACATGAATATATGAATAGATTAACACACGAATATATAAAAAGATTAACACATGAATATATAAAAAGATTGACACATGAATATATAAATAGATTAACACATGAATATATGAATAGATTAACAGGTATATTCTGTTTTGTAAGTAAATGGTTGTAGGTAATGTACTTTGTATGTTTCAGTATATCATAGGTAATGTACTTTGTATGTTTCAGTATATCATAGGTAATGTACTGTGTATGTTTCAGTATATCATAGGTAATGTACTGTGTATGTTTCAGTATATCATAGGTAATGTACTGTGTATGTTTCAGTATATCATAGGTAATGTACTGTGTATGTTTCAGTATATCATAGGTAATGTACTGTGTATGTTTCAGTATATCATAGGTAATGTACTGTGTATGTTTCAGTATATCATAGGTAATGTACTTTGTATGTTTCAGTATATCATAGGTAATGTACTGTGTATGTTTCAGTATATCATAGGTAATGTACTGTGTATGTTTCAGTATATCATAGGTAATGTACTGTGTATGTGTCAGTATATCATAGGTAATGTACTGTGTATGTTTCAGTATATCATAGGTAATGTACTGTGTATGTTTCAGTATATCATAGGTAATGTACTTTGTATGTTTCAGTATATCATAGGTAATGTACTGTGTATGTTTCAGTATATCATAGGTAATGTACTGTGTATGTTTCAGTATATCATAGGTAATGTACTTTGTATGTTTCAGTATATCATAGGTAATGTACTGTGTATGTTTCAGTATATCATAGGTAATGTACTGTGTATGTTTCAGTATATCATAGGTAATGTACTTTGTATGTTTCAGTATATCATAGGTAATGTACTGTGTATGTTTCAGTATATCATAGGTAATGTACTTTGTATGTTTCAGTATATCATAGGTAATGTACTGTGTATGTTTCAGTATATCATAGGTAATGTACTGTGTATGTTTCAGTATATCATAGGTAATGTACTGTGTATGTTTCAGTATATCATAGGTAATGTACTGTGTATGTTTCAGTATATCATAGGTAATGTACTGTGTATGTTCAGTATATCATAGGTAATGTACTGTGTATGTTTCAGTATATCATAGGTAATGTACTGTGTATGTTTCAGTATATCATAGGTAATGTACTGTGTATGTTTCAGTATATCATAGGTAATGTACTGTGTATGTTTCAGTATATCATAGGTAATGTACTGTGTATGTTTCAGTATATCATAGGTAATGTACTTGTATGTTCAGTATATCATAGGTAATGTACTGTGTTTCAGTATATCATAGGTAATGTACAGTGGGGTATGCTATAACGAACGTAATTGGTTCCAGAACCTCGTTCGTTATAGCATTCTTTCGTTATAGGGTTAATCCGTTCCAGGCCCCCAAATACAACCGCTTAACACTGAAAAAATTCTGTGGAAAATGTAAAAAATACGGTACTTTATCTTACCTTAGTGTTATTCAGCATGCAGGTACCCCTAAACACTGGCACAGCACTATCACTTCCACTGGGAGTCTTGGCTTTAAGGTCCTCAAACAATTGTTTAGCCTTCTCACAAATTATAGCTTCACTAATGTTACCACCTGCCATTTCTTTCTCCTTTATCCACACTAAGAGTAAATTTTCCTTCTCTTCAACCACATTACACCTTGCTTTGCTAAGTCTAAAGATTCCCTTAGCCACTTGCACAGTTTTTAACTCCTCTTTATTCTTCAAAATCGTACATATAGTCGATTTAGCCATCCCATACATCACTAAGTTTCGCAATGCTTCTTCCATTCTCACGTTTCTTTATAATTTCTTTCTTAGTTTCAAGGGTTATTAGCTTTCTCACTCTCTTTGGACGATTCATTGTTACAATTGTATACTTGTATAACAAAATAGTTATACAAATAACGCGAATTTCCACATCAAAAGACGAAATTTCAACAATGAGTGGTGCACTGGCTACACAATGAGACAAAGATGGCGCCTGACGCTCTTGTTGTGGGTCGCGGTACAACAATATTCATGCGCCAGGCGAAATAGTCCCGTATTCATCCTCGTTCGTTGTAGGAGTTGCGTTCGTTATAGCATTCTCAATTTTATAGGTAAAACCGTTCGTTATAGGAATATTCGTAGTAGGATCAGTTCGTTATAGCATACCACACTGTACAAGTACAGTACAGTAATCCTGTGTTTTTCACGGGAATTACGTTCCTATAACCCCCGCGAACAGCCAAAACCGCAAATACTCTTTTAGGAATCACTGTACCTGTGGCCACCAAACAGCTCAGGTAGGTCATGCACTTAACCACGCCATGCTCTCCACTCACGGCCCAGTGGTCACACTGATGACTAATGCACTGCCACGCCATTTACTAACATAATTATTTGAAACTAATCATATTGTAGTATAATAATGGAAAAACGTAAACACAGTTATATACAAAAAAAATTATTTACAAGTAACTAAAAACAATTATATTTCGCTGAGGTCGGCAACACCCGCATTGCCAGCCTCTCCCTGCTGTCCCGGCGTCTGCACACCCTCACACAGTCACGCCAGCCAGCACAGTCCTCTTCCACTCACATTCCTCCACTTGAAGACTTGTATTCTGACAAAAGACACAAATGAATTGTCAGTCTTCACCACATCTCGAGCCATAGCTCTTACGACTGCTGAGCTTGTCAAATAAAACTGTTTTTTCCATTAAGGTCATCACTATTCTTGATCTCTTGGTCACTTTAGAGTCTTTGCTAGTAATATTTGCCTTTGATGAGGCTGGCTTACATCCCGGAGCCATGTGGAATGCATGTGGGAGGACAAACAGAAGAGGTAATTGCAGTAGCGTTCACAGTACGGTAGGCACATCTGGACTGAGGCTTCTCGGAGCAGCAGGTGTCTGAGGCGGGAAAGGGTGGCGTCTGTTTGCTGCACCGCATAGGGGAATATCGAAAATGGCGCAAAATTTAAATTTTTGTTTTTAAAGGATATATATATATATATATATATATATATATATATATATATATATATATATATATATATATATATATATATATATATATATATATATATATATATATATATATATGCATATATATATATATGCATATACAGTTAACCCTCACTTTACGCGGTCCCGCATTCCGCGTTTCCACGTTTACGCGGTGCCTTGCCAGAACCTAACGTGCTCACATTACGCGGTACGTGAACCCCATTACGCGGAGAGTGTCCGGCGCGACGCTATTTTTAGATTCGCCCCACCCGCCCGCCTGCCTGCCTGTGCTCCTCGCCTCTCCCTCCTCCTCCCTCCGCTTGGGCAAGCCGCGCGGTAAGGTTGCGCAGTGTGTGTCTTTGTTGCGTTATCACTGACGTCATATGACGTATCGGACTGTGATTGGCCATGCATCCCTACCCCCCTCTGCTGCTAGCTGTAATTGGCTTAAAGTATTATGACGTGTCCACCCGGGGGAGGGAGGGAGGGAGGAAAGACGACGCTTGACCTAGCCGCGGCAGTTTCATCCCTCAAGGCCACACCGTGTAAACGTGCATCCATTGTTCCGTAAAATGGCTTCCGCCGGACCACCACCCCCAGAGAGAAACCTTTCCTTACCTGGACCCAGCGGCACTAAGCCAAAGAAGACACGACGTTCCTTAAGCTACGAGGTGAAGTATACCATCATCCAAGAGTTGGAGAAAGGAACAAGGCAGGTTGATTTGGCGCGCCAGCATGGTGTGAATGAATCTACGATTCGAACAATAAAGAAGGATGCAGCCAAGATAAAGGAGCACATGAAGATCACAAAGTCTACAGGTGCTTCTATGATCAAGTATTTTCACAACCAGGTGCTTCTCAAGACAGAAAAATTACTTGTGAGGTACTTGGTGCGTCAGGCGCGACGGAACATGGCGGTCGACACGCGCTCTGTTAAGGACTACGCACGTGAACTGTACATGGCAGTGGCACGAAAGATGGGAATTACAGAGCCCAAACCCTTTAATGCTTCCTCTGGGTGGTTACAGAGGTTTAAGATCCGGAACAAGATCACCAATATAAACATTGGTGGTGAAGAAGCGAGTGCTGACCGTGCTGCGGCTCGGGAATTTCCTCCGTTTTTACGTGAGATTATGGAGGAAGGACAGTACAGTGACGACCAGGTGTTTAACATGGACGAATCTGGTCTTCTCTGGAAAAAGCTACCTTCCAAGTCCTTCGTTGTAAAGAATGCCAGCAGGATTCGGGGCCGGAAGATGCAGAAGGAACGCATCACCGTCCTGTTTACCACCAAAGCCTCCGGTACCTGTAAGCTCAAGTTATCGGTGATCCACACAGCACGCAAGCCGCACGCCTACAAAACCATGGACATGACCAAGCTAAATGTCCATTGGCTGACCGCACGTAAGGCGTGGATGTTCTCTGCACTGTCCCTCTCCTGGTTTGATGACTGTTTTGTTCCCGATGTAAAGAAATTCTGTGAGCGACAGAATGTGCCATTCAATATTTTGTTGCTGCTGGACAACGCACCAGGACACTCGCCCCTACTGTTAGATCGTCACCCCAACGTAAAAGTGGTCTTCCTTCCTCCCAACACTACGTCTATATTACAGCCCATGGACCAAGAGTTAATCTGTAATGTAAAAGCTGCATTCTCAACAAAAAAATTCAAACTCCTGAACGACTACACCAACACCAGGGAAGAGTTGCGTAACCTGAGTGACACCACCACCGATAGCAAGAGCGAAGAAGATGAGGATCAACAGTTGGCACAGCAAAAAATACTGTTCAAACAATTCTGGAGAGTATTTAACATCAAGAAAGCTGTGGACTTCTTGGTGGAGTCATGGGATCAGCTGTCTATTGCTACAATTCGTCACGCATGGAGACATGTGTTGCATGGAATACCAGGTGAGAGGAGGAGTCAATCTGTGACTGGTGAGGTTCAGAATGTTGCAGTAGCAGTGGACCTTGCCAGAGAAGCTGCGCAGACTGTTACAGTTCCAGGCTTCTCCGAGACCACCAACGACGACATCCTGGAGGTGATCAGAGATCCTGAAGTGACTGCCGATGAGATGTTGGAAGAAGATCACGTCAGTGAAGAGGAGGAAGAAGGTGCGTCATTCTCCGAAGAACACAGTTTAAGTCATAGTGATATTAAGGGTGCCATGGAGTGTGCAGAGAAAATGAAGTCCTTCCTTTCCCGCGACGATGACCGCTATGAAGTCTTCCATACCCGGCTGGTGCAGGCTTTGGAGCCGTACATCACGGTGTATCACGACAACATAAACACCAGCCGTCAAAAAAGCATAACCGAGTTCTTCGCCCGCAACCCACCACAGCCAGCCCAAGCCAGTGATAGTGACAGTGAAGATGACTTTGAGGGATTTGTCAGGGAAGCCCTGACAACTGTAAGTGACAGTGATGGTGCTTCACCTAGTAATGGTGATTCACCTGAGGGCCAGTAATCTGCTCTCTGCCTCGGAACCAGCCTCCATCCCCGTATGCCGACCCATCTCTTCAACTACCGTAAGTGTTCCACCTAAGTTTTAGTTTTTCTAACCTAACCTTTAGTTTTCCTATGTTAACCTTTATTTTTCCTAACCTAACCTCTTCTATATTACTTGTTTTTTCATACCATCATAAAGTTAAGATAAAATTTTTACTACAACATAGTTGTGTGTCGTCAAAAAGTGGAGTTTGGGGGTCGGCCCGGACTCCATTTCAATTAATCCCATATGTTATGTTATTCACTTTACGCGGGACCCTCCGGGTTACATTAACCGCGTAAAGTGAGGGTTAACTGTACTGTGTATGTTTCAGTATATCATAGGTAATGTACTTTGTATTTTTCATTATATCATAGGTAATATACTTTGTATGTTTCAGTATATCATAGGTAATGTACTGTGTATGTTTCAGTATATCAATGGAGGGTCTTTGGATTCTCTGATTGGTGACCAGACTGTGTTCCTGCCCTGGGTGACTCGCGTCTCCCTGGCCTTGGACGTAGCGCGGGGCATGGCTTATCTACACTCTCAAGGGGTGTTTCACAGAGACCTCACTTCCAAGGTGCAGTAATGTACAGTAAACACTAACCTGCTTTAATAATTCATGCAACACCATCTTTCGTAGTTAAGTGTAATAGGTATTAATGAAATTGTTTCTGCATTGTACTTGAAAAAAAAAAAAAGAATATTGTAAGTATATTGGAATATTTGTCAAAATGGTAAGAAAAAGCAAGAAGTTTGCATTAAAGTTTAATGCCGAGTAGTATTGTACAGTACTTGAAAAACCAGAAAATACTTATTATAAAAAATTGCCAATAGGTCTTTGGACAAAATTTGAAGTACAGGTGCTCCTCTACTTATTAACGAGTTACATTCCTGAGGCTTGTTTGTAAGTCCAACTTTACTCTTGTAGATATATATATATATATATATATATATATATATATATATATATATATATATATATATATATATATATATATATATATATATATATATATATATATATATATATATATATATATATATATTAGTACTTATTGTGTTCATATTGAAGGAAATTGGTGACGTAAAGATTAATCCCCTGCCGTAGCTTATTCCACTTGAAGATTAACCCCAGTTTATTAACCGCTCTGATATATAACCTAACCCAACATATTGTAACCTTTCTTAACCTAACTTAACCTAATCCCCTCTTCTGGTAATGTTAGGTTGTTTAATCTTAAGATGAAATAAGCTGGGGTGGCTAAGTTTCAGAGGAAACAAGTTGGTGTGGCTAATTTTCAGATGAAATAAAATCAGATGGCTGATCTTAAGATGAATTAAGCTGTGGTATGTAATGTTCAAGTGGTCTCAATTAATTCATATTACAGGTAATTTCTTGGACGTAAAAAACATAATTAAGTTCGGGTATTGGTGTTTACAGAATGTATTGATCAAGCACACACATGAGGCTGGTGAACACAAACTTACGGCTGTGATTGCAGATTTTGGTCTTGCTGCACCCATACCACATGAGAGGTAAGTGTGCGTGTTGGTTGTGTCTTATCAATAACACATACAACTCTCAAGTGAAAGTAGGGTCCATAGGCATGCTGCCTGTTAGGGCCAGTGTGGATACAGCACACTCGGTACACAAGGAGGCAGCATGGCTGGTACTGTGGTCAACTGCCTTCACGTCCCCAATTTGTAAACTTGAGGGTGCCTGGGATTGGACCACCAACCTGGAACAGGAGGCGAGTGCTGTATCTATTTGACCACCACACTCCTTACATTTATATCTCACTAACAACACTTATGACTCATATCTTATTAACAACACTTATGACTCATATCTTATTAACAACACTTATGACTCATATCTTATTAACAACACTTATGACTCATATCTTATTAACAACACTTATGACTCATATCTTATTAACAACACTTATGACTCATATCTTATTAACAACACTTATGACTCATATCTTATTAACAACACTTATGACTCATATCTTATTAACAACACTTATGACTCATTATTAATCATATCTTATTAACAACACTTATGACTTACTCATTATTAATGCCCATATATCTTATTACTTATCAACACTTCATGACTCATATCTTATTAACAACACTTATGACTCATATCTTTAAAACAAATCATATCTTATTAACAACTTATGACTTCATGACTCATATCTTATTAACAACACTTATGACTCATTATTAATGCCCATATCTTATTAACAACACTTATGACTCATATCTTATTAACAACACTTATGACTCATATCTTATTAACAACACTTATGACTCATATCTTATTAACAACACTTATGACTCATATCTTATTAACAACACTTATGACTCATATCTTATTAACAACACTTATGACTCATTATTAATGCCCATATCTTATTAACAACACTTATGACTCATTATTAATGCCCATATCTTATTAACAACACTTATGACTCATATCTTATTAACAACACTTATGACTCATTATTAATGCCCATATCTTATTAACAACACTTATGACTCATATCTTATTAACAACACTTATGACTCATATCTTATTAACAACACATATGACTCATTATTAATGCCCATATCTTATTAACAACACTTATGACTCATATCTTATTAACAACACTTATGACTCATATCTTATTAACAACACTTATGACTCATATCTTATTAACAACACTTATGACTAATATCTTATTAACAACACTTATGACTCATATCTTATTAACAACACTTATGACTCATTATTAATGCCCATATCTTATTAACAACACTTATGACTCATATCTTATTAACAACACTTATGACTCATATCTTATTAACAACACTTATGACTCATATCTTATTAACAACACTTATGACTCATTATTAATGCCCATATCTTATTAACAACACTTATGATTCATATCTTATTAACAACACTTATGACTCATTATTAATGCCCATATCTTATAACAACACTTATGACTCATATCTTATTAACAACACTTATGACTCATATCTTATTAACAACACATATGACTCATTAACAACACTTATGACTCATTAACAACACTTATATCTCACAAACAACACTTATGACTCATTATTAACACTTATGACTCATTATTAACACTTATGACTCATTATTAATACTTATGACTCATTATTAATACTTATGTCTCATTATTAACCCTTATGACTCATTATTAACACTTATGACTCATTATTAACACTTATGACTTATTATTAATACTTATGACTCATTATTAACACTTATGACTCATTATTAATACTTATGACTCATTATTAATACTTATGTCTCATTATTAACCCTTATGACTCATTATTAACACTTATGACTCATTATTAACACTTATGACTCATTATAAACACTTATGACTCATTATTAACACTTATAACTCATTATTAATACTTATGTCTCATTATTAACCCTTATGATGCATTATTAATTCTTATGACGCATTATTAACACTTATGACTCATTATTAACACTTATGTCTCATTATTAATACTTATGTCTCATTATTAACACTTATTACTTATTATCAACACTTATGACTCATTATTAACACTTATGACTCATTATTAACACTTATGACTCATTATTAATACTTATGTCTCATTATTAACACTTATGACTCATTATTAACACTTATGACCTATTATCAACTTTTTTTGACTCATTATTAACACTTATGACTCATTATTAACACTTATGACTCATTATTAACACTTATGTCTCATTATTAATACTTATGTCTCATTATTAACACTTATTACTCATTATCAACACTTATGACTCATTATTAACACTTATGACTCATTATTAACACTTATGACTCATTATTAACACTTGTCTCATTATTAACACTTATGACTCATTATCAACACTTATGACTCATTATCAACACTTATGACTCATTATTAACACTTATGTCTCATTATTAATACTTATGTCTCATTATTAACACTTATTACTCATTATTAACACTTATGACTCATTATTAACACTTATGACTCATTATTAATACTTATGTCTCATTATTAATACTTATGTCTCATTATTAACACTTATGACTCATTATTAACACTTATGACCTATTATCAACACTTATGACTCATTATTAACACTTATGACTCATTATTAACACTTATGACTCATTATTAACACTTATAACTCATTATTAACACTTATGACTCATTATTAACACTTATGACCTATTATTAACACTTGTGACTCATTATTAACACTTATGATTCATTATTAACACTTATGACTCATTATTAACACTTATGACTCATTATTAACACTTATGACTCATTATTAACACTTATGACTCATTATTAACACTTATGACTCATTATTAACACTTATGACTCATTATTAACACTTATGACTCATTATTAACACTTATGACTCATTATTAACACTTATGACTCATTATTAACACTTATTACTTATTATCAACACTTATGACTCATTATTAACACTTATGACTCATTATTAACACTTATGACCTATTATCAACACTTATGACTCATTATTAACACTTATGACTCATTATTAACACTTATGACTCATTATTAACACTTATGACTCATTATTAACACTTATTACTTATTATCAACACTTATGACTCATTATTAACACTTATGACTCATTATTAACACTTATGACCTATTATCAACACTTATGACTCATTATTAACACTTATGACTCATTATTAACACTTATAACTCATTATTAACATTTATGACTCATTATTAACACTTATGACCTATTATCAACACTTATGACTCATTATTAACACTTATGACTCATTATTAACACTTATGACTCATTATTAACACTTATGACTCATTATTAACACTTATGACTCATTATTAACACTTATGACTCATTATTAACACTTATGACTCATTATTAACACTTATGACTCATTATTAACACTTATTACTTATTATCAACACATGACTCAATATTAACACTTATGACTCATTATTAATACTTATGACCTATTATTAACACTTATGACTCATTATCAACACTTATGACTCATTATTAACACTTATGACTCATTATTAACACTTATATCTCATAAACAAGCTCTACATTCAGGGTGCTGCCAGTCCACCCAACTGTGAATGAGTCTCTAACTTTACTCACATAGGCAGGTAATTTTTTATTAGCAAAGGAAGCAGTTACCCTACCATGGCAGATAAGAGAACACTTGGAAGTTCTACATATAATGCCCAGTTTCCACTCGGTAAAAGTGGGTTGGCATTAGGAAGAGCATCCAACTGTAAAACTTCCTTAAAATTTGTTTGTTAGCAAGAAAAACATTATGCCAGGAAGTAATCTCCGCTAACCCACTTTAGTGCGGAAAATGGCTGCAAGACAACCTGTGCTTGAGGCATGTGGACAGAAACATCTGAAGTACTGTACTGTTTAAGTTGTCACTAAACAACTCAAGGTGAACATTATGACTTCACACACAGAGTAAGTGTCTCTGATGTAGTTTTTTGTTCATCCATCAACATTCATGTTGACAGTTAATAGTGACTGTGTACAGCCACATACAATGTTGACAGTTAATACTGACTGTGTACAGCCACATAAAATGTTAACAGTTAATACTGACTGTGTACTGCCACATAAAATGTTGACAGTTAATACTGACTGTATACTGCCACATAAAATGTTGACAGTTAATACTGACTGTGTACTGCCACATAAAATGTTGACAGTTACTCCTGATTGTATACTGCCACATAAAAAGGTCAGTGGTCAGGTTTGTGTGTGGTAAGTGTACTTATAGAATCAAGGTCACACACATTTCCAATGTTCCTCAGAAGTGGATGTTGATGGTAGTTGGTGGTACACCTGAGGCTTTGTTGCAGTACTGTGCTTTACATTGCCTAACCTAACCATTTTTCCAGTAATGGATTACTATGGTGTGACATACACACATGCTAACACTACTTTGCTGTCACTTGGAATCAAGTATGACGACCATCCAGCAATGCTACAATGGTATGAGGTTTTAAGGATGTCATCTTCGTTAGTGAGTACTGAGGTGACTCGAGAGGCTGATACGGGACCGGCAGGGTTGTCCACAGATGCTGCATGTGGGGGGGGGGAGGTTACATCTTGTGCTGGAGGAGCGGCAGCAGCATCTTTCTGGCACAGCGAAATCTTTAGCACATGAAGGAATTACAATAAGCTGTACAGTAGGCCCTTCAAATTCGCGACTAACATTTGCTGACCATTGGGAAGGAGGGGTGGGGTCCATTTTTACATGTGTACAAAGAAATGTATATTCCCTTTATATGTTTGCCCTAAGAACAAATATTTCTGTTACCTGTATTGTATATATATATGTGTGTGTGTGCATGTCTAAAACACACACACACACACACATATATACAATACAAGTAAAGGAAATCACTGTCTCAAGAACAAATGGCTCCCTGTCCCTGCTGTGAAAATTCCTACAAATTTAAAACTACTCGCAGACATTCTTGGGT